ACCCACCTTTAATTTCTGCCTTACAAGGCTCGGGCCTCTCTGTTGCGTTCTTAGAAAAGTCTACCGACATGTTCGCTGACAGACCAGTGAGTGCACCAGTGTCAGAGTACGTTAAATACTGTGGGAGCACAAACCACTCCCATTTGTTTTACTGGGGTGTTATGAAAGGGCAATTTATCTTATCTGTCTGTACAGCAATCCCCTTCCTGTGTGGAGGTTTCACAGAAACATTGAAGCTCAGTACCTTCACCGCAGGAAACTTAATGACCCTATCTGCTGCTGTTCTGTCCCCTTATCGCCTTGATTTTTTTTTAAACGAAAACAAAAAAGATAACTCTTTTTCATCTAGTCCTCAGGCTTGCTCTTTAAGTATTTACGTGGCTATTCTGTGATCAGATTAAATAATTGGACCCCAGTCATGATATAGACATAATAAATCTCAAATAGGATTAATTGTGATTAACCCTTTGATGCACTGCTGCTTTTATTTGCTGTACGTTATTTTCCTTTTCTGGTGACCTAGATTGTACCTGAGAAGCATGTTGATTTTATAAACTCTGTATATAAGCAGTGAATCAATTTACGTTCAACCAGGAGTTAGAACCTGTCCTAACTGACAGGACTGAACAAACTAACTGAAGCGATGTTATAAAAGAAAGTGGGCCAAGATTACTCCACCCTATGCGATATGAGAGGTTTTTTTTTTTTATTACATCCTGATACTTAAGATTGAAAGAGGGTGCACTTTTATTCCTATACTGGTGCAAAGACATGAAGCTGTGAACGCAGAGTTCATCACAATACTGAGCAAAATAATTATCACCACGGTCATGATTGTGCAGTCCTTGTCGGTGGCATACGATAATAAACGTGCATTATGTTAAACACGCTTTTCCATGGAAAGCACGTTTGACATATCTTTAACCTTATCTGGATTCACCAAACTAAGCAGCCACCTTAAGCAATCGGGCCACTAATTCACACCAAGGTCGTTTACCTGATTATCAGCGCAAGGTTTCCCGGTGTGGCGAACAGCACACTCACACTAAAGGGGTGGTGTTGACAGCATGAGCAATCACAAACATCGATGGGTCTACGGGCAGCAGACTGTGTTTTTCAACCAAAGAGCAAAGTAGGAGTAGATCAAACGCATATAGTAATAGAAGATGGAAGCAACACATTCTGCACTCACTTCACCATCATCAAGGCACTAGATCTGACTGTAATTATAGCCATGTATCCCACAAATTAATGGGTTGCTTTGTGAGTTAATGTCGGCCTTATTTTTGCATCTGCAAACCCGGTGGTATAAAACAGAGCTACAGTCAAGAGCAAAAATAAAAAGAGAATAAAACCCGCACAGAACTGTTTTTACTGGATGCTTACTTAAAAAGGGAAAACAGTGAACATTTATTATTAAGGCTTGTCAGATTAAAAAAAAATAAATCTCTAAAATCTACTGGGCCTCTTACTATTTGGGGCAATGACAGCACACACATCCCTGTAGTGAGACCACAGTGAGTAGTAATACAGTATAACACTCATCTCGTGGCTCATCTGACACATTAGCTCTCATGGCCAGAGCTTCTGGACTCTTGATCCTAATCAACCAAAAACAAAATAAGACAGATGTTCAATTTTTCCTGTTTTCACCAGCAGGGGGCAGAAATTACACTGTTGAGGCATAAGTATGTCATTCTATGCTAGACCTTTTGAAACAATACATATTTTGATATTTATTATTATCATTATTATTAAGTATTTGTATTTATCAGGTTGCATATCTGCTTTATCCATATACGCTTTACCATCTTAAGATTTAATGGTATTGTAAGACATGCAGGTTCTTTAGAACCTAACAGGCATTTCTATTGTATCCAAAATAGTTTTCACTTGAAATGGCCACTTAGTAAGGTATGCATGCAAAAAAATCATGAAAAACTATGTCACTGAATATGCCAAGTCTCCATCAGACACTTAAAATGAGTTAATTTGGCATTTATTGTTGAGAAAGAATAATGTAAATGACATATTTCTAATCTCCAGCACATCCACAGAATGTCACCACACACTCCATCTACTCACATCTCCTCCAAACATTGAAAAGAAACGTCAACACAGTTTAAAATAACTCGCAGCAGCACCAGGCTCTCTCGGTCACTGCAACGTCTCCTTCGTTCATATTAATAAATTAAAGACAACTGTCCACATACAATTCATGTTGCTCATAAGATTAATGTTTATTTGCACTGCCCAAACTGTTATAAACTGTGAGGATTAGTATTCAAGTATTCCCTTTCCGGCTATTTCTGTGCTGGATATTATCCTAAATATCTGGTTCTGTGAGTTACCTAATGTGGCACAGTACAAGAATAACATTTAAGTAAACATTATGTACATGTACTAACAAAAAAGAAATAAAAAACAAAAACTTGCAAATGTATATTTGCTTACAGTGCAATCCCCATGCAATTCCACATGCAGTTATAGAAGATGCCTGAAGAAGACCTTATTGATCATGCATGAGCTTGTGGCCTGCCATCCAAATAATAATGTATTATTTCCATCCAATTTCAGTGAAACATCAAATGACAACCCCTCCTCATTTTTATGGTAGTGATATTCACCTGCAGAGATGATGACGTCCGACAATAGTTTGCCAAAAAAATTTAGCACATTAAAATAATCTCATTCCATCACAACAGGACAAACCAAACCGGGCCTTGCCACTCTGCAACCAGCCACAGCATGCAGACATGGTAATGTAAATAGAATCAATCTGAACCATGGTTGCAAATTGGCACAACTGTATACAAAACATTTTGAGGGAAAATGGACAAATAAACATTGTAACCTCATGGTGAACATATGCATTTACCATGGAGTAGCAATGGTTTAAGCACTGGCACAAATAGATCAACAACAACAAAAAAAAAAGCACACAAACAACCAGCCTTAACAAACCTCTCAATCTGTCATTTGACACTATATAACAAATGCCAAAAAACAATCACATTAGACAGACGTTGGTAAAGGAAAACACAAGTAAAAATCACTGAAAAGCAAAGTTTTTTCCCAGCGGTGTCAGCTGGGTGTAACAAAGTCTTCACTGTGCAATCATGTTATTTTAAAAAGGCAACAAAATCAAATGCCGAGCATAAAAAGGCAGACTTTAAAACTAACATTCCCTGTTTCTGTGACATAAAACATGACAGAAGTGTTTGATGTATAGCTCATGTAAAAGGTGCAACAAATATTCAAGTAGATACCACAAATCTTCAGTGAACTGCTATGACTTAAACTGAGCAGTTGACCTTTGCCAATTTACCGAAAGATTCCCAAGTTCTGTATTGTATGATTAACATAAACGTGTTTAAGTAGAATAATGTTAAAAACAAACAAAACACATTGTTCAAATCTTTCCATGTATGTCCACTTGAGTGAAAAATCCTTGTAGCGATCCAATAAACAGGACCCACAACACCATGTATGGGACCCTTAGGAGTGAATTGAAAGTCATACATGACACAAAAGCTATTACCATTAACACAAAAATTTAGCCACCTGAAATACTGATTGTCATTGACTTTACGTTAAACTACGGCTCTGTTTAAAAAAGAAAAGTTAAAAAAAAAGATCTTAAACGTCTCCTATATGTAAAGGATTTGTATCTTCCTGGGTGAATAAAATCTAAACAAAAACGCTGAAACTGAAAATTATTGTGTTATGCTGTTACAAGACTTTTGCTCTTCGTGTCTCAACTTTTGAAGTATTTCGCTGCCATCGATTCAAGATTATTCAGTGTCTATTTTTGATGTTTTGTTTCAACGTGCCAGCTAAAATTGTACACTGCAGGACTGGCAACAGCTAGAAAAGTATAGAATTAAGTTTGCGGCAAAAACAAAAAAGCCAACAAGTAACACTCGGAAGGGCAAACAAACATTAAATGTCAGGTCAACTAAAGCGTTAAAACATTCTGTGAAAATCTGGGTTTTGTTGAATTTGTCATATTTGTCTATGGGCCCTGACTCAGTTGAGTTTCACCTCTCTACATTCATTTCATAATGTAAAACTAAGAAAATGTGGAATAAAACACTTCAGCAACACACTTTTTAAAAGCAAAGTGATCAGTTTGTATACATAACTTGGCTGGATTAACATCTGATGATGCGCTTGAATTTCTTATTGTACAGACACCACCAGTAACATTCACTTTCCCTTTTAGTATTTCTAAGGTACTCTGCACATCTCCTTTTAAATAATACCAGTTAATTAATATCCTATGTATCTTTAAAACCCTATGTACTTCGACTCCAGCAAAACAAAAGTAAGAAAATGCATATATGTACCGATTCGTCTTCAACCCTACGTTTAAAATGAACATATATGACTTCTGTTATTCTGATAGACTTTAAATGCTGGTTTGTATCTGCACATTTTGGCACTCACAAAAGAACATCTCACTCTCTGGAATTTCACTTCCTGGTTAAATAAAGGTTTAAAAAATTAAATTACAAGGGGTTGAGTGATTAAAAAAAAATTGATTTAATTATAAAAAGTAAATCACAAATTCTTCTGAGACTGCACTTGATGGAATTTGATTATTTCTTAATCAAATATCCCTCAAATGGCATCTAACAAGGATTTTACGACACTGACCATCAATGTGGATTCACAAAATGCTTTGGAGGTTTCCTCACATATTTACCTCACCAACACCTTCTATTTCATCATTTTCATTCTGCGACTCAGACAGCAGCATTAATACAAAAGTCTTTTGTTGATCACGAAGTTCGTAAAGAATGGTAAACTTTTTGACAATTTGTCGTTGGGCTAACAGCCGCTTTGTCCCGGGATGACCTCTTCTGGTAAATTGTTCACAAGAAAAATAATTGGCCATGCACACAGTATTGCTAAGAGGTCATTTCATGGCTTTGGGATGGCCATTTTAAATGGTCCATTGGTACATCTCGGTCACTGTGCCTGCTTTCAAGTTCCCTCACTGCGTGTGGTCCTGTAATCTCAAGTCCCAGGTAGGCTGCTAATGAAGCAGCCTTGCATGCCAGGGTCCAACTTGCTACGAGCCACTGCACATAGTGTTGTCAGTGTTTCTGCTGTGGCATGTTCTCACCAGTGACACCTGGTTCCCTTAATCAGTCTTGCCGTTTTCCTGAGGTGTGCCAGCTTTGCTCCGGTGTGCTGATCGTAGGACCTTGTAACATCCACGGGCGATCTTATGCATCCACATTATGTTCATAATGTCCAAGCAGATGCTGGAGCAGATCCAGGCTACACGACCACCCCATGGCACCAGGTAGAAGGCCTCAGTGCCATAGACCGCATACATGCGACTGTAGTAGACTGGCATGACACCGATGCGGACGAGGAAAAACACCACTGCCATGGCAACGCCATTTGCCATGTTGGGCCGGGAGGACTTGGGATAACCCAACACCTCAAAGAACCAGCTGAAACAAAGCACATTTTTTCAGAAAACAATAACAGTATTCAATTTAATCTTAAAAGACAGTAAGTACCTTGCCACATTAAAGTAAATAAAACTCAATCTCAAAGAACCATCTGAACACAAAACATGTAGACAGGAAATTACCATGAGTTCATTAAACTTTCTAGTAGAAGACCTTACGACAGGCAATCCAGACTTAATTTTTTAAAATAAATTAACTAATCCATTAAATTTAAGAACCAGTAATAGTCATTTGGTTTACCAAAGATCTTGGGTAAACCCAGAGATGTTTTATCCTGTGCTGTAGCACGATAAAAATCTGACTTTAAAGAACTCGTCTTAAGTAACTTTTTGGAAATATTTAGCAATCAGTAAGTGTGTGCGTGGTAACTATACCTTAGCCAGCAGGGTATAATTTCAATATTAGTCAAGTCTAAGCCATATGTGATCTTCTTTGTGCCAGAACGGGCCTCAGTTACACAGGCCTACAGACTCCCCTCAGAATCTCCAGTCACTGGGGAAAAAACCTTGTTGATTGTTGTGGGGGCCAGTGATTTGTCTAAAAGACACCAGCGCATCTGTGAACACTCCCCATTTATTCTCCAAGCTGTAGTGTAGCTGTGAAACCTGCAACACAAACTGGAGCTCATTCACCTTCAGAGTAAAACTTTTAAATGTGCCAGTTACAGGGGTAAAGCACAACAGCTTATGTTGCTCTTTTTCAGTTCTCACTACAGCTTAGCAAGTAGTTTCCAAGTGTTTGCAGACAAGTAGGTGTCTACCATCCAAACTACTGGCAGCCACAGCAACCTGCTAGCAACTAAAGCAATTGAAAGGTGGTTTTCAGTGCAGCGTCACACATCTCTTGGTGACCAATAACACTTTAGCGACTGCTAGAAACCTCCAGAAACCAATTGAGGAATCTGCATTTTTCTTTGACAACTGGTGGTTGACTTGCATGACTGGGGCCTTAAGCTGAGTTTTCTGTCAACAGGTGGAGATTTGAGGGCCTAAACGCACAGTCATCCATATGATAATCCTAAATATAGGCTGAAGGAAGACGCAAAAGTAGAAAAGGTAGGATATTCTGTGGCTGTCACCTGAGATGCATTCCACTTGCTAATGACCAAGGTAAATATATATATATATAAAAAAAAGACCTAAAGATACCTGAAAAACAGGTCATAAGCAAGCTAGTACATACCGCTGGTTTACACACGGTGTAGAAAACTCAGCTAGCAGGCGGAAGTTAGCAAAATAAGGCAACATTCCTTGACCCTGGAAAAACAAGATGAGGACAGGAAGACAACAAGACATGAGAGGAACAACAACAATTCCACTGAAGAATGATGAGCATGATGCTGGTGCACCACCGGGTCAACACAAACACGATTTCTTACCAAGACATCAGCAGTTATATGTATGAAAACAAAGATTTAAAGAAACCACAGCCTTAACCATGTGCAACTATGTTTAATATTGTCCTAAGTAGTTCCAACAAGACAGTCTTCTCCTTCAGAGCAGAAGGGTATTCCTTTATTTTTGCAGTCCAAAAATTACACTGTCACCTGAGTCCATTTCACAGAGGAGTCCTTGCTTATTGTGAAAAGAAAGTCATCACAAAGAGATAATAAAGAATGATTATACAAAATAACAATCTTCTGTTATTTTGCAACGCAAAAGGATTAAAGTTACAGTGGTCAATTATTTCTTTGGAATTAAATTAAAAAAAAAAAAAAAAAAAAAAAAGACTCCCTCAATCTGGGCAGTTACTCTGAGCAAAATCAGATTATATAGATCATCCACAAAAAAATTAGTTTAGTTTCTGTTAAGACAAAAATATTTTAATTTGCAACAATATCATTATTATCAGGTAATCCTTAAAACCCAAAACAATAGGCGATATATAGAAATGCCCACACAAAATGTAGCATTTTTGCATTGTCTGAGTCACCAACACAACAATAATTTAAAAAACAAAACAAAAAAGCATTGTAGCAGAAAAGGCCGTTCATCTAAATAACAACAACAATTAAAAAGAGCACATATCAGAAACAGGACTTGATATATATACACTGTACAACTATAAAAACATTCAGCCAGCCACTATTTCAAGGAGCAATCAGAAGCCATGCAGAGTATAAAGCAATACATTTGACTGCCAAACATGTCATTACAGGATTAGGTGCTGAATTCTACTATTTTGTGAAACAGATGATCTGCAGCAGGTTTCAACTGCTACAGTAGTTGAAACCTGCTGCATCAATATAATCATTGGGAAAGTTAGAGGCAATAATAAGGGAAAGATTCAAATAAATGTGATTCATGATTGAGAAAGTGCATTCATTAGAATGAAGTGTAATGATCTCAATCTCGATTTCTGCTGCAATAAGACTGTTTGACTCAGCAGTTTGAAAACCATTTTTTTTTGTTCCCGACTGCTGGCTACAAACTCAGCACAGAACACAGCTCAAATTAAGGATGCAGAATTCAAAGTTATTTGGCCAGCAGCCTAACCTTTACAGAAAAGACTTACCGTCAGGGCTGTAACAAAAGTTGGTCAAAGAAACATACTTACTGTGTGATACAAACAGTTTACAATTACAAGAAAAGGTTTGTAAACCCTAAGGAATTCAACAATAATTACTCATAAAAATGTGGTTTGATCTTAATCCAAGTCACACTTAACAAAAACAGTTTGACTAAACTAATAACACAACCTATAAACCGATTCTGAATAATAACTCCAGTCCAGTCCAAAAGTAACTAAATTTAGTGTCTCCTAGAACCTCCGTTGGCAGTAGCCATCTTTATCAAATGTTTCCTGTAGCATGATAATGAAGCTTTCTAATCGATTACCAATTTTCTTCCATTTATCCAATTTAGGGCCATGGGGCCTGGAGCCTATTCCAGGTGTCAAAAGGTGAGAGGTGGAGTAATACCTGTACAGGTTGCCAGTCTACCACAAGAATAAACAGAGAGAGGCAACCATTCACATCAATGACCAGTTGCCAATTAACCTAACAAGCATGTCTTAGGCCTGGGAAGAGGTCGGAATACCCAGAGAGAACTCAGGAAGGCACAGGGAGAACATGCAAACTCCAAACCGAAAGGTCTCTGCAGTACAGTGGTTATGAACCCAGCGCCGCCTTTCTGTTAAAAGTCAGTCTGACTTGGTCATTCCAAAGCTTGAACATAATGAACAATGACTGCAATGTGCAGTCACATGGTAAAGAAGCCACAACTGAAAACTAGAGCTTTCGGATAAGCACTTTTTTCACCATATCCTATGAGTTACTGTTCAATAAAGCTGTGAAAAGCATAGCTGTTTCTTTATTAGTTTAGTCATATTGTGTTTGCCTGCAATTGTGACTTGGATGAATATCACACCACATTTATGAGAAATCAATGTAAAATTCCTAGAAATCCTTCACAGATTCATAAACCTTTTCTTGTAACTGTATATTCCCATCTAGCATTAGCATGCTAGTACCTCTAGGAACTGGTAAGTCCATACTGTGACTGGGCATCATAGCTGCTCAGTACAACACAAGAGCAATAACAGCAGACAAGACAGGAATAAAAAAAAGTCCCCATCTAGATCAAGACCTGCTCTGGGTTTCTAAATGACAACTTTTTGGTAGTTTTTGCATGAACGGAGATGACACAACCCAACTTCATCTTGGTAGTTTTTGCATGTAAGGTTTGAAGAGGGGCCATTTATGTTAAAGTCAGCAAAGGACAGACAGACAGACAGACAGATATATTAGAAGGAAACAAACAAAAAAATAAGATGCCACAACACAAAGCAAAGAAGAAGCAACACTTACAACACTGAGAAAAACGAAAGCATGCATCCAATATTTTTGAGAAGCTACCCTTAACTTTTAAATAAGCACAAAAGGCTGCCACACAAAATAATTAAATTACTTGAGCAATATTTGTGATTGGCTACTTAATAGAAAAGCATAACAAAAAAAATTACATTTTGCATTTTTTTTTACTAATATTTCTCAGTAGGAGTCAGTTTAGCTAGAGCTATGTGCCTTGTGTAATGTTTTTGTTTCATTGGAGTGCAATGGTTCTGAAAAATCCGCACAATCCACAACCTTGTTGGCCCATGATGCCCTATCCATTGCCCCCACTGTTGAACTTCATTATGTTACAAATGGAGACAGTGATATGATATTTTAATAAAGTTAAGGTTCAAGTAGCAACAGAAAGTTAATGCAATGATATTATTAAGATTACATGACAGCCATGGCAGATCTGAAGGCATTGCTACACTAGCTTCAGCTAACTTTGGGGACATTTCGGGTGCGTTAGCAAAGCTTTCTGGTGAAATAGCTCAACTGTAAAAGCATTTTTGGAGTGCTTATTTAGTGTAAAATGCATGTGTTTGAATGCAGGCTAAGAAATATAGGTTGAGAAAGAGTTTCGGTAATGTGTATGTGCAATGATATGCTAATTAGCCATGTGCTCATGTTGCATAAGCTAGTTAGCATGTGCAGCAGTTATCTCTCAGTCATCCTACAAAGTATGAACTGTGGAACAGTGGATTTAGAGAGTCATTACACCCCTAGTTTTGACATAAACAGTTCCACATAAACACATTCAACACATTTAACTAATAAGACTTTGACAACATATGACAAATCTGGGTGGGAACAAAACTAAATAAAATGAAAATGACATCAAAGGTTAGCCAACTTTTGGGGGTGATTACAACTAATTTATTACAGCTACATTCATGCTGCTGTTCCATGTGCATTTCAGATCTAGTCTGAGAAAAAAAAAGTCATGAGTGTCCAGTAACAGTATGGCCTACTTCATCTCATTTACCGAACTGTTTTAGATACAGGCGCTCCGTTTCTACAGATACGACTAGATTTACAGTCAGTGTTAAGTCAGAATTTTAAACCAACCATATGACACCATTTCACTGCCATTACTAACACAATTATTGTTCAGATACAGAAACACGGAAAGGTAATATTTCTCATTAGCAATGCTAAAAGATGGAAAAAGTAAATAAAATGTCTGTCAGATTAACAAGAGAAAAAAATATCTGTAAATCCAGCCACGACTAAAATAGACAAGAGCAGGGAGTGAGACGTAAATATGTAGAGTGTAAGCTTTACACTACATCTATTAGTGCCAAGTAATTAAAAACATCTTTTTAGATTTTAAAAAAAAAAAAAAAAAAAAAGCAGCTTGATTAATTGGGGGCTACTATCAGAGTGATGCAAATTCCATGCCTTTCTGCATTGTTGCTCAATATAGAGAACAGAGAGCATTTATTTACTGTAACTGTAAAATAAAGTTCATGTAAGACTTTTTGGAGCACTAATTAATTTTTATCCCCCAGACTCCTAGAGTAGACCCTTGAGAATACATTCAGCATGGTATTTGAAAAACGGGCCTATCTATTATGCAATGGACTTTATCATCTTGGCATGGAGTGTAAGAGAGGAGCCAGGACTAGGCTCTGGCACAAAAGACAGACAAGCAGAAGCCAAGGTACTGTAGATAGGCAGGTAAGTAATTAAGAATGGTAAATGCTTTTTGTTTTCATGCACAGTAACAGGACAGAAATCTCTGCCTGTGTAGAGCGCTTCAAAGCTACGAGCATGCACACAGTGGTTACAGTTGAGCATTCAGTTGTGCTAAGCTCAGAAAAGTTTAGCTTACACCAGAGTCACACAACATTTAAAGGGGGGTCAGTAAAACAAAAAGCACAGAAACTGTAAGGGCAAGGTGAGGGGGGAGGGGGGCAGGGAGAGGGTCATCAGCCAGTACCGTCACTGAGCATTCCATGCAAAAAATACCATAGTCATTCATTTCCCGCAATTATGCGACAGATCCTGGCAACCTAGAGGGTTTCAGATTGAACCAAGAGTGAACAGTGCCACCTACAAATGCTGGATAGAGTCACCATTGGCACACCAAAGTGTATGACAGCAATGCAGCATACACACGTTTTTATCTTTAATTGAATTATTTTTTTAATACAATGAGCACCACTGATACAAGATCCAGCTTGCACAACAAACAGCTGATTTATTGTTTTATAAGGTACATCATGGCCAAACGGAAACGTCAAACTGAACTAAATCCCATCAAGACTATTACTGTTTTTCCTACAATTTTCACAACACTATTCAAGGTGTTAATGTGCCAATCAGCCATTTTTAGGAAAGGCATCAACCACCAAAGAACAGTTATCTTATCACTCGCACACTTGAATAATGCCAAAACTGAATGTTCTGCTATGGAAAAATAAAGAAACTAATACTGCTACTTACTAACTGATAAGAATGCTTTACTTTCTCTAGCAGTTTTTCCCTTGCACTAAAATAAATAAAGACAGAGCTGAAGCTTTAACTATCTGAGAACTTATCTGATGTGTTTGCATGGGATTGATGTATCTCTTACACAGACCACACTGGCTCTCCCTCGTACATATTAAGCTCACCTATGACTATCCATGGCTATGTATCACACCCAGCTGAAAAAGGACATAGCTGTTCACCCTTGGTTGTCTCTTTCCCATCTTGCCTGCACGTTCTGCTATTGGGCAATAGGGCACTCACCAGTACATAGTAGTAAGCATACAACGCTGCCAGATGATGAACTACAAAAAACTTGTCGCCTATTGCCTTCCAATAATAAAATATCAGCAGCAAATCTGGAAAACAGAAGAAGAGGGCAAAGAGGGACAGCATGTCATTGGCGTAATCAAGGCAATCTAAGTGCATACAGAACTATTTGGAAACAGCAGCTGGCACAGTACGGCTGAACTACAAATGTGTCATCAAGCATCAAAGTTTATCGCAAATTTATTATGTACATGTTCTTTTTCACTCACTTTAACAAAATTATGCAGACAAACTGAAAGCTTTCTCTTACCCGATATGAGGTAGCCTGTTGTAATTGCGACGTTTGTCTTGACCAGTGTAGGATCTCCCCTATTGAAAAAAGAAGAAATTAATTTGTACTGTGTGTGACTTACGCTTGATAAAATAGATTCTGACACAAGATGCGCAAAAGAATGAGTCTACATTAAAGTGTGTGTACACATGTTGGGTGCAGTATTGTGAGGCAGAATTCACACTTTAGCCTCAGTCACATTGAAAAAAAGGAGAGAGGGGGAAAAAACAAACAAACAAAAAAAACCCCAACATGTCCAGAGGTTAAATGTACAATGCCTTCGAAACCACTGAGCAACAACACGTGATTGCAAGGCAGCTGCACAGGTTGCATGATAGCAACCTGTCTCCAAATTTGGACTGAGGTTAGCTCTGGTTTAGGCTACTTGTCTAGCTGTTGATTTTAGCATAGCACATGTACATTGTAATTCATAACGCTAATAATTCTTTGTCATTTTTTAAATGGTATAATTGACTTTATAAACACATGGAGATTCAGAATTTCTAACTAATTTATGGTATTTTAAAAAAGAGAACAAAAAAGAACAAGATGTTAGCAACTCAAGCTAGCTAGCAAGTTAATGCTACCAGTAACTTCTATAAAAACAAAAACTGCAAGAAATAAAAAAATAGTTCCAGGTGAATGTACAGTTATAGTTACAAGTTATCTCAATATACTACAGCTACCAATGTTTCACTTTTACAAGGGAAAAGAAGACTGTCCTTTTACAAACCTAACACTAGCTTAAGCTTAAGTTATACACAGACTTGGCTTCCAACACTAAAAAGTAATTCCAGTCCAATAAAGAGCAGGGCAGTGTTACTAATAGTATAACTGATACAGATAAAGACTCAGATAAATAAATTTTACACATTTAGCACAAAGACTGTAGTAGGTAGGTAATCGCCTGATTAGCCAAATATTGTAACCATTATAACTTTGAGCATAAAATTATGCTCACTATTTGATATTGACACAAACCAGAAGCTGTCTCCCTTGCACACCTCTTCAGTATTTGGAAATTAAATTTAAAGCCTGAAAGGCATCTTTAACTACGCAAAGGGGACATTAATGCAGAAAAACATAACCTTCATTATGAAATAAACCAAAACTTTTGAGAAAAAAAAAAGGTTAAAAATATTAACTTCCAAGCCAAAACTCTTACCAAACTGGATCTTCATTGACTGCATCATCAAAAAACAGAATGTAAAGACAGAATATTCCCACCAACAAGGCGTGAAACGTTGATACTGTCCTGAAATAAAAAGAGAGAAAAAACATACAGCCTTGATTATCTGCTAATCCCTGAAAAGGGCAGATGATGACACAGTAATGGATAATATACTTTCTATTCATTAAAAGTGCCTTGAAGCTGGTCTGTACTTCAGACAGAGGAATTTTTAGTACTCACCGTGGATCAACTGATTGCCTGTCACGACTGCACACAGATTCAGACCAATTAAACTAAGAGATTAAACACTGCTGAAGGGTCAGACAGAGTGGCGCACAGTCCCATTCAATCACTCAAACAGTGAGACAGTCCACGGCCCTCAGCAGTCACACAGACCCTGACAGCCCCACTGTATAAATACAATACTGTGAAGTCATGGACTTTAAGAGGGATCCCTGAATCCCAGCCTGTATCCCTTTCCAGTAATAATTCATTTTGATTTCCACTTTAAAATCACATAGCCATTCTGCTTTCACAAGTGCTCTCACGGATAATGAACTCAGCAAAAACAGGACATGTAAGAGCAAGATTCATGCAAGCTGTACCAGGCTAGTTTAGTCTGATCATTAGGAATACCAATCTAGTTAATCATCACCCCCCCCCCCCGTTGCTGGAACCTTACACAATAGCTGTAGAGAAAATATCGCAATGAATCCTACTTGTGAGTCTTCTCTGAATGCCACTGTAAATATGTGGGTTTAATGTTAGTAGACATGTTTGGACCGAGCTAAAACAAATCATCCTCTGTTAAACATAGAACAGTGTCACTCTCCATGCAGCCCAGTGGAAGTAAATACTCATGACTAAGTGAGAGTAAGTAAGAGTTCGGTCACCTCGAGTTCCATTCCACCTTCTGCTTGTCGCTGAGGCCAAGGAAGCCAGGACTGATGCGTACAGACAACCAGGGGCTGACTCTGTGGAAGAGCCACTGGAAGGTGAAGAAGCTGGTCACCGAGATGACGAGAATAAGCTGGCTGAAAGGGTCCATGGCCACCCAACCTTACTGCAAGAGAGAGTGAAGGGTAATGGTTAGACAATAGGAACAGTTAGCAAAGTTATTTTTTTAAACAACATTAACCTGAGGAAAAAAAAAAAAAAAAAGGAGAGAGAGAATGCAATGAAATGTTTCACCAGCATTGACCATGTGAATACACCATCACTTGAAGCACCGAAAACATGCCTACCTGAAAATCCACAACTAAACACATCAAATCAAACCTGTCAGTAAGGCCCACGGGTCTTAAACAGAAAAGGTGTCTTAAACCTTGAGGAACAAGAGAGAAATGACCAAGTAGCCACGTTTTTGACTCCATCTACTTACTAATTCTCAACTGCAAACCTCTTAAGTATAAGTAGTCATCAAATCCGTTTCATCTACCTTTTCAAATCTTCAGAGCTTGCACTGAAATCTGAATGATTAATGTGAATTTCTGAATGGCAGCCCAATGTGTAACGACACAGGAACCGCTTCAGGCGGAAGCAGAAACCTTGGGTAGAAGGCAAAAATATAAAGACTTCCTGTGTGCGCGCTGACATCAGACTCTGTGGTTTCAGCACATCCCGTTTAAAGCCAAACACACTTTCTTTTCCCTCAAGTTCTACATTACAAATGTGTATCTATTGTAAGGCTTTTAAAATAAGCAGTGACAGAGAATTGGAAATACACATTTTAATTTGCTTTTAACCGACCCCTGACTTAAATCGCCCATATGGAGGGCAGGGATAAGGAGTCATAAAAGCCATTTACATACTATCCAACTTTATGCTGCAATATAGATGACATGCAAAGTGCCATAACCGACACAAACCATTCCATCAAAATTCCCCTCATTATTTCTAGCATCTTTTTCCGTGAGCTGCACATTGCAAAGCATTTGCACAACTGAATGATATGCATGCATTTTCGTCTACACTACCTGCATTTGCTTTCATTTTTCACATTACAACGGATCAATCAAGTACCTGATATATTTGCAGAATCAACAACGCTGTTTGAATTAAAATCCTATCAGTAGTCGTTCCTAGCTAAGACGTTTATGATGAGTATCTAGAACTTTGTGGGAAGTTTGGCCTGTTTGTCCAGTTTGAACTCTGTAGGTTGGATTGAAAATTATCCTTTGATGTTTTTTGTATTTTAATTTAACCCCCCAGCCTTGACAAATGTCTCTCCACCAGCCTCCACAACAGTAGCACAATTTCTGCAACTGGATCTATGAACCCATTAAGGATTTCATAATAGAACATGTGGTAATGGCTGCAACAAAAGTATAACAGTGACTACAGATGGCCTGATGTGAAAGGGAAAGGACTGTGTGCACTGACGAAAAACAGACACAGCCTGTTGTTTATTCACAGATCAGCGGATAAATGACAAGCTTGAAATCAAGTATTCAAAACGCTCTGATAGATATAGTTGCTGCTGAATATTCCTTCCCTAAAGCTGGCCTCATTCTCTGGGAGATGAATCTGTGAATGTCACTGAATCACTCACACTCACATTATGAATAATCACCTCTACACAGGGAGGAAGCGGGACATGTCCAGAGGCAAGTGCTTTGTGTGGGATGTAGGTCTCAGAAGCACTTTCAAATACAGCATATTCATTCTCCAGCAATAACAATACGTGGCTTAAACGTTACAGCTCTATGGAAGGGTTTCAACAAGCAATGAAATGTTGCACCATATACTTATGTAGCCAGAAAACTAGGATACTGATTGATAATATTTTTTGAAATTATAAAAGAGTTTATCAGCATGCTCACAATTCATCCACAAGGGGACACTGTCGATGAAATATTTCTTAGCAATGTAAAGCCAAGCAGCTCACCAAGGTCAGTGTACTGGGCAGATTGAGTGTCATGCCACTGGATACGTGCAAACTTTGGCCTGCTCGTAGGACTAAAGGGAAATTCAAAGAAGGACCAATAAAACGTATCCATGAACTGTTCGAGCAAGAGTGAGAACAACACATGATGCAAGTGATTCTATAGTTGTCAGACAATTATATCACCAGCACTTCACATCAATATAATTTCCCTGCGCTGTGCAGAAGAAAACTGTAAAGAAAGAAAACTGAAGGGTCACGCTCTAATTAAATCCTACGACACCAATATATATCCATGTTTAAAATACCCACTGTTCTTTTTAAACACATTAGTATAAAACACAAGAAAACATTAAAATACTATATTTGGTTCCAAGACATTTCAAATCAGACTTAAAGCAAGGCCAAACCTGACAATAAGTCTTCGTTTCAGCAGCTCACTTATTCTACACTGACCATGGCACAGCTCTACAGCATATGATGCAATTTTCCTCACGGGATCACAGTGTCCTGCAACCTACCACTTTGCAAGTCCAACTGCTACTTCCCCACTTCAGCATACGCTTCAAGGCCCCTTCAGCTCACATAGGTAACTACCCAAGCAGCCAACTCTTACACCCTCCACCAGCATGCTCTTGTGATCTTATCAAACCCCACACAGGCTCTGTGTATTCTGGCCATCTCTTTCTCCATGAAAAGTGAAACCCACGTCAACATGACGTCAAAAACCCACGTCAAAAACCTCTGACATCATGTCACCTGCTTTATGGGGGCCAATCAGGAGGGCTTCCTGGAATTAATGCTACTTTGACCCACATAGTGCCAATGAAACATTACAACTCACCTACAACTTTTTAAAGGGGAAGTTTACTCCCTTATTTTGGAAAGGAGGTCAGGGAATTCAAAAACAAGAACTTCACAGAAAAATGAAATAAATGTCAGCGAGTCCAGACCACTGAACTGCTTTATGTTAGATTTAAGATATTTGCATAAGGCCTGTGCCAGTCGTTGGTAAGAAGCCAAGTCAGTTACATTTCAAAGGCATATTTACATCCCCCAAGCAACAAAACAGAGCATCTCCCAGTACAAGCACGCAAAACACATATCTCAGTCCCAGGAGCTCTGGCCTTGGTGATTACATACCTACATTTGTTTCTGCGTCACGTCAAAGAAATGTTTGAGGGCAAACGATGTGCTTCACTAAAGCACTATAGTGAAAGGGAAAAAAAAAAAAATCACAAGGGAACTTAAAGGCCAAAACCAGAATTCTCTCCTTTAGGTAGAAGGTAGAAAGACTTTTGTTGCTAAAGGGACGCTTGAAGAGCCAACATAGTGATGATGGCCCCAGAGATATTTAAGTAAAGCTAATCCCTGTACTTCCTACAGGGAGTGAGGATTGTTTTTGGTATACACATGCATGTTTGTGCCCTACCCATGTCACACAGGGTCTTGCTGCCAAGGCAAACGGTTACACATATAAATGAGAGTGAAGCAAAAAGAATGCTGTGCAAATTAAGGACCGCACAAAGCACCAATAAAGCTACTATTTTTTAAGCAACAAATGTTTCCTTTGCAATTACAGCACAACAGAAACACTGGTGTATAGATTATGTCAACTTGAGGTGCATATTCATGTTCATCACAAACAGCCTTTTATTGCATTAGCTTAACCGACAAAACCCCAGAGATAACAGCTATCACAGTAGCGCTTATCAACTTTCTCGGTCAAACCGGGTTTTCTGCTTCAGGCTCTGCACACTTAGAGAAGCGCCTTCATGAGTTTCACACCTCATTTGACTGATTCTTATGGGTTTAGCCAATCAAAAATTGTATCAGCTGATAATGATGATGGAAAAGCTACTTTTGGTTGTTCCCTTGCCACAAGGAGTCACAAAAGGGGGTGGCTTTGTTTTGATATGGCCGGCTGCCCTTTCTGAAGGAACCTGGAAGGTGATCTGTGTCTCCAGCTGAAACTGGCGATGCTGCCATTAATGCGCTGTTGATAAAAATGGTGATAAAAGATCTACACCGAGTGTTGAAAATATAACGGATATACAACACTGTTGAAAATAAGATGAGAGATTAGTGCTGCAGAAATTCATCAATCTGGTGCTTTAGCCCACAGGGCGGTAAAATAAATATTTTAATTTGAGTTCATTATTTTAATGCCGAGTGCGCTCTCAGTGCTGCTGTGTATTTCTAACATGACTGATACACATTAAAGCTCTGAAACTTTAAACTGGATACATATAAACATTAAGTGTTACTGTCCCACAACCTGACAGGAGACGTGGAGATGGCTTTCGTTTGTTGGGAAATCAAAAGGGAAAATGATTTTACTCAGTAAGATTCTTGGCATGTTTTCTATTTTCTAGTAGCTGCAATCCCAGAAGAGTGAAAGAGACTCAGCAGCAACAAGTATAGACATTTATACACTTCCTGCACCACCAGATTAAAACACTGGATGTTTACGGATTGGTGGTTTTAGTTACACATATAAAATGCATTCCTCCAGTAGAGAATCTATAATACGCTTCAAAAAGAAGAAGCAGTGAAAACGTGGCGCTCCCGGCGGATTTTAAACAGATTAGTTACCATGGTGACTTAGCCAAGTAAAATGACAGCCACTTTCGTGACAGAGAAAACTCTGACTTTAAGCTCGACATAGCCCGATAACCCACTGATCTCGCTTCACTACGGGAACCTCTAGAAATGTGGCTTGAATCACTTAAGGAAATTAAGCCTCCTGCAGCTCCAGAGCTATTTATTCCTTATTTAATGTTCTGTGCTGTCAGCAGCTTGGACAGAAAACACCAAATCGGGGCCCGCCTTGAAACTGAGTCTTGCCTAGAATTTCTGGGAAATGAAAGACACAAAACTGGAACAGGTTTCTTCCTGGAACACAGCTATGACAGTCCATACGTTGCTATAAGGACTGGCGTATGCGCTTGCGTAACACGGCTGAACCTCTTTTTTTTTTTTTAAAGAGGAAAAAAAAAAGAAAGCGACGAACCAATGGCACCACGAAAATAACCTGGGTAGTGCTGCATCGCCGCAGGATCGTCTGCTAAACATACAGTGCATGATCAAATGCCCGAAGCAAAGATGTTTTTGACCAGATCTTCATTTCCTTTCAAACAAAGACGCGGGTATAAATAACATCACTCACAAGGCCAGTTTACGCCGCACTGACTGCATGCCTGCTTGCCTGGCCAGCTGCTGTAGCGTATGGAAAAGAAATGGCAGTGGCCTAGCCGTGTCATCGCATTGTAGCCTCGTATTTGACAGCAGACAAAATCATCCCAAACGGACCTACCTTATGACGTTCATTAAGATATCTGGCGTCTCCCCCTCTCTCAGCTCGTTATGGTTTCTGGACTCGCCTCCATAAGCGCTGAGCAAACGGCACAGCCGTGTCGAATCATTTTCTTGATAAACAGGACAGACCGCCTCCTGCTCCGCGCACACACGAGCTATTTGTGGGGGATGCGAAGGGGCTGGAGCTCTGTGCCAGTATTTGCTGTGTTTACCGAGAATTCCCACCGACACCAAACGCGCATAATGCAGAGGTGCAGATCGTGCAGCTCGACGCTCGATTACAGAAACGATGGAGGGGGCGGTGTTGGTGAGCGACTTCTCTAACCAGCTCCCTCTCCCCGTCTCTCTCGATATCTCTCCCTCGTTCCTATAGGGCTCAAATTGCAGCTGAATTCTTAAAGAAACACACATGCTCACTAACCACCACAGTAGTCTGTCCAGAAACACTCACTGGATCTATTTATAGCCCGGGTTCGTTGAACTGATACAGACAAGATAACCAGCAAAGCGAAACTGCAGGCATGGTCTGCTGGTCTTTACTGGCAGCAGAGCTTCCGTATCGAATAATCTGAGCGTGCCATGGGAGTATTTGTCATAAATTACTGCAGATTATAATCACAGCAGATAATTAGATAATGCACAACGGCAATTCACCATCTTACTCAAGTCACTCGTGCCTGCAAATGCCAGCTATACGCCCATAAACAGAGGGGCCGATGACAGCTAAAATGGCCCGTGATTGCAAGGGTAAGCTGAACGAGGAAGTCTGGCTGTCTGCAGCCTAGAATCTAGATCGCTGCGAGCTGATTTGCAGATCAAATGGTCTAAGGAGAGATCTCAAGAGCTACTGTCCTGCAGATTTTAGATGCATCCCCAGTCCAACACAGCTGAATCAAGTGGTTGAATTATCTCTTCAGCGTGCCATCAAGTTTGACAAAGGCCAGGTAACACGCCATTCATTTGATTCAGGTGTTTCGAAACAAGGATGCATCTAAAAGCTGCAGGACAGTAGCTCTCCTCTCGAGTACTGGAGTTGGAGACCCCTGGTCTAAGGTGTCACTGTTATATGCACTGCACCATTACACCAGATAAGAATTGGGCTTTCCACATTTCATCGATTTGAACATACACCTCTTAAACTCATCAGTCCAACCGAAAGGCATTTAAAAGCCGATTAAGCGAAGGTTTACAGAGGTTTCCGGTTACAGCACGTTTAACAGGATCGCCAAGCATCTGTGTGTGGGCAGAGAGTACAAATCCATCGCTAATGTAAAGGTATTTCTTGGCTCTTGTTTGTCAAGGGCTGCCATGTTGGATCTCTTGGCTATGATAAACCCCCATTTTAATAACCTGATCAAGAACAGTTATTAAAAGACACGTTGTACAATGATTAACCTGCCGAGTTTAGCTCTGTGACAAAGTGGAGGAGCAGTTGCAATGTTCTCCATTTGTCCCATATGTGTTTACCTTTTTTTTGCACATTGTACACATTATTCTGTTTTTATGTATTTGCTATGATTTGCTATTTGTTAAGTAACATTGCTTCACTCACTATCCCGGGTTTGTTTGTGTAAGCGTTCTGTTGCCGCCAAATCAAACATTCTGCAAATTAAGACAAATACTAAGTTATGTTTCTTTATATTTTATTATGTTACAGATTAAGTCATTTGTTCATACATACTTTGTCGCTATGTCCCAATTAAGAGACCGCACGCTTGAAGTACGCGCACTACGC